TTGACAGCCATCTGACTTTTTGGCCTTTCTACTATATTTCCACAATTTATGTACCATTTTCATTCGTATTTGGCACATACATCATACATATCAGTGTGTTTCATAATCAGATCAAAGTTGGCCGAATAAAGGCTGTTTTTATTTTTGGCCATATTACTACTACATGGAACACGTGTTTTGATGTAAATAAACAATCTGTTGTATACGCCACTTGGAACTCAAGTTTCAAGGACACGCTCACAACAACCCCTCCGCTTTAATATGACGAGCTCAAAGAGAACTTTCAAAAATTTTACGGCGAATGTGTCAATTTCAATGACTTGTTTGCATAATAATTAGCATCTACGGTAATTTGCACAATTTATTCATGTGATTTGTTTTCAATTTCACAAACTCCTTACGCACTATTTCTTTGAATTTTATTATAATGAGCAAACGATAATTTAGAATAAAAATCCAAGTCATAGCTTAAATCAGTAAAGAAAATCAATAAATCATAACACAAATATTAGTTTTCCACATTGGTATAATTAGCCTTGGCATGTACATGTAACTAGTAGAGCACACTTCACTTATTATTGTTGTTGTTATTATTAATATAAAGTATAAAGATGCTGGGGCAAATCATCTCATCTATCCTCTTCGTGCCTCTTGGAACATAAGGCCACCTCATTCCATGTTTTTCATCCACCCAACTTTCTCTCCTTCTCCGCTGTTCTCCTTCATGTTGCTTTAGGCCTGCCCACCTTCCTTTTTCCCATCTGGATGCCATGTCAAAGCAATCATACAATGGTAATTACTTGGCTTTGGCTGCACTGCCACGCTGTTCGTAACTGAGGGAGAAAACTGTATCAGCCTCAGTTGACATAGTGAATTTTTCTTTATTATTGCTTTGTATTTCAGTACAGTAAAACCATTTATTTTCACTATTTGGAGCACATTCACTGGGTTTTAAGTTTCAAATTTGCCAGGAAAACAATGAGTTCTATTGTTATTTTACATGTTCGTGTGTATTATACTATTTGGTGAAAATAATAAAATTAAAACCCAGTTTATAATTAAAGCTTTTACAATAATTTGATGCAGAGCAATGTACACATAGATTGTAATCACTTGTACTTATCATAATATATTCAGCAAACAAATCACCTTTAAGGTGCACTTATTACTGATGTCAGGCGTACTGAATTCCCTTGTAATGGCTTTGGTCAGATTCTAGAAATCTAGAAACCCCTATCAAATGAATTACTTATAACACTATCAAATTTGATGGTGTAAATATTCAACAGACATGGGGATTATTGATAGAATTGTTGAAGTCTGAAAAAAGTGTAGTTGTTAAATTATCCTTGCCTTACTTCCTGATCTAAATCTTGAATGCATTTCTGAACAAAATATATTCAAAATGAGGCACATACATGTTCATTGAAGTGCCATTTCAATTTTGAAATTGTGTAATTTTCTGCCTCCTGTACCTGGCATTCATGGGTAGATACATAGAATTTTCATAACAAAGTCTGCAATGCCTTTCACTCTTTGTATGTAATTAATATTGGACAATGCATATAATGTTTTTTTGTCTGACGGCTCCACATATATTTTTTATTTGTCTATCAGCTCCACTTTTGATGCGGAAGAACCACATAGCGAGTTGGTAGATACAGTGTTGTCTGTACTACATAAAGGCACGGCTGGCTCAGATTGCGATAGTGAGGACAGCACAGAGAGACATGTTGTGCAAAATGACTGGATTATTGGTGATGATGATAGCAATTTGACAGAAGTTATTGATATAGCAGAAAGTGTCCCTAGCATACAAGAGAAGATGACTGTGTCTGAGGATTCTGAAGATGTTGTGGTGCCTTTGCAGATAGCTAATAAAACTGAAGTAGAACAAACAGCCATAAACGAAGTTCAGCCTTTGGTCGCAAACGATGCTAGTTTCACTGGAAATGTGGAAGCTACAGTCAAATCAGGACACTTGCATAATGTTAGTTCCACTGTAAAGATGATTGAGGATGAAGTAAAATCTGCGGACTGTCAGACTGGTTGTTCCCAGGAAAATAAGAATGAAAACAAGATGCATTCTGGGGACTCGTCTAATGTTAGTTCAACTGCAAAAAAGACTGAAGTTGAGGTGAAATCCGGAGACTGTCAGACTGGTAGTTCCACTGCAAAGAAGACTGAAAACAAGATGCATTCTGGGGACTCACCTAATGTTAGTTTAACTGCAAAAAAGACTGAAGTTGAGGTGAAATCCGGAGACTGTCAGACTGGTAGTTCCACTGCAAAGAAGACTGAAAACAAGATGCATTCTGGGGACTCACCTAATCTTAGTTCAACTGCAAAAAAGACTGAAGTTGAGGTGAAATCCGGAGACTGTCAGACTGGTAGTTCCACTGCAAAGAAGAATGAAAACAAGATGCATTCTGGGGACTCACCTAATCTTAGTTCAACTGCAAAGGAGAAGGAAAATATGGAGCAATCTGGCGACTCTGACACTATTATTTCTACTTCAAAGAATGAGGAAAATGAGCGGACTAGCAACACAAACAATGACAATTCTTTTGGAAATAAAGATGTAAATTTAGAGCAATCTGCATTCCTAAACAATATTAACATCAGTTCTATTCTGCCAAACCTTAGAAAAAGTATTGATTTGATACTTAATGAAGAGAAGAAGAATTTAGAAGTGGAACAGAACAAGAGTCCCACTGTGTCTACCAGTGATGTAGAATCATCAGTAAAGGTAGAGAAAGACAAGCAGGTAAGCAGGTTTCACTGTTATTTTTGAAACTGAAAGTACTGTACATCAGTGTTCAAGCACTGTGTTAAAACCATGGAGACTGGCAGTCTGTAACTGGATGTACATCAATATTCAAACATAGATGTTTCCTCTACGTAGACTAGGGATATGGGAAAGAGTATCTATTTGTACCCCTAACTTTAACCCTACTCTCTGGCATTCCCCAATTTAATTGCATATGCCCACCTTCTAGTTATCTGGACGGGGCATAGACAATTGAATTGGGGGACTGGGAGAGTGGGTTAAAGTTAGGGTTAAGGGTGATGGTACAAAAGTAACTCTTTCCATGATATTCATAAGGCTTGATGCAAGTACAAATGTATTAACAATATTGTTGTTTCTACCATGGTACAATTGAGTTGAGGTTAAACGTCTGTATTATGCAGGTGGGTTCAGACTGATGTGTTTCTTCTTCCTCTGATTGTTTCTTGATCATATACAGATCAGCCGTGGTAACATGAAGCAAGGTGATAGGAAAAGCACTAAAGATGTTGGAGTAGAACCGTCGAGACAGTCAAAGCGATTCCATCCTTACGGAAAAGGGAAACGCACCACAGAGCAAGAACCTTCCCCTGGGCCGGTCGTAACACAAGAACTACATACTCTGATGAAAAACCTCACTGCCAAAAATTATTTAGCTACCAAATCAGAAAAGCCTATTAAGCTCATGAATAATTTCTATGACATGCCAGCTGGATCAAGCCCTGCAAGGTTTAGAACTTGTGATGTACCGTCTAGATTACGACGAAACACTACATCAGGTAGTGAGTCATCAGAAAGTACTGTGAAGAATGAAGGTGATGAACGGGTTCAGAAAAATGATTCACGGAAAGTACGATCAAAAGATTTCATTTCCAAACTATCGCTGTATGACAGTATAGTTAATTCGAGGCAAGAGATGGATGCGGATGACGTCTATGAAACTGAAGGAAAAATATATAGCAATCCATCAATGGTATGTATCAAAATTTTGTTTCATCTCATCATTCTCTCGTATTTTAATGATGCGAATTATTGAATTTGTTCATTGAGAATAATGTACAACACTACTCTGTTGGTATGACTGTATACTGTGAAATACTTTATTTTAACTGGAATTAATTTTTCGCTGAAAAGACTTTGACTGTTTTGTATGAAATTTATTTTCACTGATTTTTGATGAGTTGAATGTAAAATATAAAAAAAAAAAGTATAATCGCTGGATTTTATTTTCACTGAATCATTTCTTCAACGAAAATGGAGAAATAAAGTATTTTAAAGTATAGCAAACAAAACACAACATCCACATATCATATATGCGTCTATATGTACCAATTTTGTGTTGTTTTTTTCTGCTTCGTTTTGTAACAGGCAGTCCAAAGAGAGCAACATGCACCAGCACCAAGCAGGCAAAGATTACTAATGGGCGGAATGTCACACACTGGACGAAACATACCCACACTTCAGGGTCAGAACCGGCAACAGCTCCAACCTACTCCAGTCAATTTATATAGGCATGCCACCCTTTTGTGTGATGTTGATGTTGCTACTTTATCATCAGTATTTCCTCTTTCATCAACTAACCCAAGTATCTGTGCCACAAACCCAACCAAATGGCTGTAGTCTCACTATGAAAATGTGAACAAATAACACATACTGTATAACTAGGCTTAGATATTTTTAGGGGGCATTTAAGCAAATCTGGGAGAAAAACCACTGAAATTCCAAAGTAGCTATCAACGTGACACGTAACTGGGACAGCTTTATGCCTTTGTATCGCATCTGAATCACCTCCCCTCCTTTTTAGTTTGACCTGACTGACTTGCCGTATCTGCAGCTTTTTAACAAACATTTTTTTTTTATATTATTTGGCTGTGTTTATAATTTGTTATCAAGGCATGCCTGGTTGAGGTTTTCGGTACAAAGACATTTCATTTACTTCTTTGTTGTCATATGCTATGGAATAACTTGATCTGTACAAATACAAAAGAACAATTTGTCCATACTGTGATAAACGTTTGTTTCACTCTCATGCCGCTGACAGCTATTTTTTTTTTAGTAGGGCCAGACTTTTATTATTCCTTGTTTCGCGAACCCGCCGAATGAACAGGAGCCGAAAATGAAATAAAAATAACATTTTATTGTAGCGTAATTTCTCGCGCCCACCGACTTGTAAGCGCAAACGAATATTATTTTTATCTTCATTTTTTACCGCCTGGTGCATAACAAATCCAAGTTGCATTTTCGTGGGAGTATCATGATCAAAGTACCGATGTCCCGCGCAGATGAGAAACAAGGTTATACATTGAATAACATTTTATTTCATTTTTTCTCTCTGATCAATGATCTCACTTACAATTCTTTGAGAATCACACAAATCTAATGGGAAAAAAAAATATTAATTTTATTATTTTTTTCGCCCTCAAAAAAATTGCCTTATAAAAATCCGAGAAACAAGGAATAAAAAAGTCTGGCCTAGCTTTTTGACTAACTCATCCTACCATTGTCTTATTTTCTATATAAGCCATTTTCCTATGTGTAATTGCATCTTCCTCTATTGTCAGGTTCATATATCTAAATCATGAATCGTTTTGGGATATTTTGGTAAAAGTAACACACAATTTATCACTGGTTACATATTTTTGAAGCACCAGGTGTGGAAAGTTTGTAACACCTTGTGAAAATAGATGTAATGAGATTTCATGAGAATTACATATCTGGAAGAATCTACATTGATCAACAAATAATACATTCTTGCTTTGTGTGTACATGCATGTCTGTGTGTCTAATCTATGTTGTGACGACCATTTACCTTTACACCCACCAGGTGACGACCCACACTACTTTTGACTCGTGTGTGCAAAACACACAATGGGATTCATTGCGGTTACTGCGCCTGTGTGTGTCTGTTTCACTGATATCTCAACCACCAATTATCAGATTTTAATTAAACTTAGATGCTCTGGGCTAATGCTCAAACCTGATTAGTTTTTGATTGCATATTAATCAGCCAATTTTAAGCCAATTTTCAAATTTTTGTTAATGGGAAGTCGTCACAATGTAAGCTAGACGTGTATGTGTGTAACTTGCCATTACTATATGTTGTGAGGATGTAAATGGAGATATACATGTATATACTAACTTCCAAGAACATTTTTATAGTCTTTGGAAAAACATAATTTATATTAAGTTAATTCAATTTGTACTTGGTTTGCATAACTTAGTGTTAGTAAAAGGGTACGATATGGTACAGTTTATATTAATTTTAATATAATTGTACCATACCTACCCCCCTTTACTAATGCTAATCTTTGCAGACATTTCTATGCTAAGTTTCTATGGTGTTGTTTATTTTTAAATACACTTTATTTAATTAAACGCCAATTAAAACGTAATCCTATTTAGTTTCAATTTAATTGAGTTTAATTTTAATCCAATTGAATCGCAACCCGACAGAGGGTTGCATTTTAATCAAAACATAACATAAATTCATTAAAAGTTAATTAATGGACGTTCTTAGAACATATAACAATGCACGTATGGGGTGTGGTTGACTTGTTTTGAATTATTTCAGTGTTCTGAATTCTATGATGATTGAGATACAATGAAGTTGAAAATGTGGAAACACTAATAAAATCTGCACAACCATACCAAATTTTTGTATAAACGAAACGCATCTGATTTTGGAATTGCGACACACACACCACTTCTTAATTTGTCTATTATTTTATGTATCACTTTTCTGTGCTACTGTTCTTGTTTTCATAAGAGTTGAGACTTTCCATAGACTGGCAACTTCTTGTCTGTACTTCTCATTTTAATGTTTTGTATTCTCAACTTTTCAACAGAGGGGGAATGCAAGCAAACGCATATCAAGGACAGTTCTTTACCGCCCGTAATCAAAACCCCAATTGGTCTGGTGTCAACAACTGGAGACCACAAGGTGCAGACTATTTCACTCAGTTGCAACAACAAGCCAGGAATTGGGCAAACAACTCACAGCGGCCAGGATATTCACAGCAATTTAATCAACAGCAGCAGCAGCAGCAGCAGCAGATGCATCACCAACGACAGCATCAACAACGACAGCAGATGTTACATAACAACCAGTACTATAACAACAACAACAACTTTGGCTTTCAACGCGCACAATCACCATACGAGTGGGGGTGCAGAAGATAGCAATTTATCTAATTTAGTGTTTGGGTAGGTAGATTTCTTATTACGATTAACATATTATAATTCATATCTTTATTATAAAATATAAATTACATATCTCTTTAGGGTTTGTGTTTGACACTATTGCCCGACTCATTGGAAATTACATACACGTTGTTGCATGTATTTCCTCAGCATTTGTTCACATGTGTACAATCAAAAAAAATTCTTTTTTCAATCAATTCAGAAAACTTGTGAATTATATGTGTAATTGTGTTTCTTGAAGCACAGTAAGTAAGTACTAGTAAGTACTAGTAAGTAAGTAAGTAAGTAAGTAAGTAAGTAAGTAAGTAAGTAAGTAAGTAAGTAAGTAAGTAAGTAAGTAAGTAAGTAAGTAAGTAAGTAAGTAAGTAAGTAAGTAAGTAAGTAAGTAAGTAAGTAAGTAAGTAAGTAAGTAAGTAAGTAAGTAAGTAAGTAAGTAAGTAAGCAAGTAAAATGGCTATATGTATAAGAATGACAGCATTGTCTGAATGCATTGCTTCGAGATTGACAGCCACATATGTACAGACAATTGTGTGAAAATATTGCCTTCAATTTTTTTCAATAGATGTGGTGATGGAAAGACGGTTAATGAGAGTATGATGCAAGATGATTTTAATTGTATACCAATGGATCTTGATGATGAATGTCAAGATTATAATATAAACAGTCAAGAAAAGAAGAAACACACTTTTGTGAAAGGTAAGTTACATTTGAAAATTAGCTGGCATGTAAATGCAACACAATCATCAACCATTGCTGAGTTGTTGTAGTAAGTGGTTTTTCCAAAAGGCGACAACCAATAGTTCATATCCTGAATGACAGCTACCAATAGTTCAAACATCTTTGCAGTTGAACCCCGACATATTTTCAGTCCATAATGCGCCCTCCATACGTCCATCCATATTTCAAGTCATCTGTTCATTCTTTGCATGTGCCTAGTGCTTCATGTGGGATATATGCACATGCAGTGGTTTATTGATTCAAACCGACTGGCAGTGATTTTGTTTTAGTGCAGCTGTGTGTGTATGTATGTATGTGTGTCTGTCTGTTCCACTGATATCTAAAGAACCAAGTATCAGATTTTTAGATGATACTCAGGGGCTCAGACCTGATTAGTTTTTCGTTGAAATCCTGTACATATTAATTTAATATTCAAATTTAATATTCAAATTTAAGCATATACTATTTAACAGATTTCAATGAAACTTGGTACATAGATACTCTAGGGTAATGCTCAGACCTGATTAGTTTTTCTTTGAAATCCTGTGCATATTAATTACCTAATTTGCATATTAACTAAATCTAAGCATTTTCACTCATGTACTATTAAACAAATTTCAATAAAATTTGGTATATAGATATTCTGAGATAATATGCAGTATTGATTAGATTTGGTTGAAATCTTGTGCATATTAATTGCCTTATTAGTATATTAATTAGTCATTTTAAGCATTTGCATTTTTCTCATATACCGTTAAGCAGATTTCAATGAAACTTGGTACATAGATCTTCTGGGATAATAAGCAGACATTAGTTTTTGGTTGAAATCTGTATATAAACCTAATTTGCAAATAAATTAGCCAATAATTTAACTTTTTCGTGGACGTTTAGGGATAAGCCATAAATGTGTCAGTTTAGGGGTAAACTTTGTGTATAATAATTAATATACTAATTTGCATAATTTGCATAAATCAACCAATTTAGGTGCTCCACTGATATCTTGAGTACCACTGATCAAATTGTTATGAAACTGAGCACATAGGAACTTTTAGATAATCCACATATCTGATTACTGTTATTCGTCAATGTGTGTTTCTTAATATGCACAACTGTAATATGGTACCACCCAATTTAGGGTCATGAATGTTTTTTTGAACTGCCAGTATTGAAAGTCTCTAAAATATAATGCCTGTTTCATTCCAGACAAACATTCAAAGCTTCGATCACGAATCAATACCTCAAGAGATCCTAGGCTACAGAAGCGGCATCCAACCATGCCAGAACCTGACAGAGAAGCAAAAGAAAACATTGTTGATCTTACAGAAACAGAAGGCATTAAAGATATCCTGAGAAGTTCAAGACAATTGGAAGCAGTTTCCAAGCGATCAAGGCCTCTGTCATTAAAAAGCAGCAGTGATATTATACAATCTGTAAGACAGAGAGCAAGAACTGAAGTTGAAAATACAGATATTGAATCTCCTAATATAAAAGAGGCATACAGGTCTCTTTCAAACTTGTGTTCTCGAATAAAAGAAGAACACAAAATTGGACCTGTAGGAGGTGATTGTAAGGAAGTAGTAGAGAATAGTGCTGGTTTAGTTCATCAATTGAGTGATGTCAACACAGAGGAGCGGATAAGGTCTTGGCTTGATAGCATGGAACCTGATCATGGCGAAGCTCATGAAGAGGAAAAGAAAGACAATCAGCAAACTTCTGGTGCTGATGTGGTTCCAGATTTAGATGACCTCACTTCTGCTACATTTGAACCCGCAGTCACAAAGAAAAAGAAAATCAGAATAAGCTTTTCACAATATAAGAACAAAGCAAAGGAGGCTGAATCTGTTGAAATAGAAGAAGGAACTGTTAAAAATAAGTTGCCAGTGTCTTTGACTGTGCATTTGAAGAGGAAAATAACACATGGTATTGAAGGTCCAGAAAAAATTAAGTGTCAGGTTGAGACTTCATTTGGAATGGCAGGTAAATATGGAAATGGCGTACATGCCACTGCAGAGGTATCCCCAGTCCTGACAAATACAGATGAAACTGTAAAGTGTGCTGCCACTGAACCATCATCAGTCCAGACTTCTTTTGGCTCCAATGGTGAATGTCCATTTTTAGAAAAGAGAGAAACTAGTCAAAGCATTGAAGATGCTGGCGAAATCATGTGCACATTTCAGAAAACAAGTAAAGATGAATCTGCCTCAGAAGTTCCCTCATCTAAAAAAATTGAATCCTCTTTCTGGACTGATTTTGGCTCTAACATTGGTGAGGGTTCCATTTTTGAAAAGAATCAGATTCCCTTCTTGAATATTTCATGTACATCAGGACAAAAGGGAGTTAGTCCAAGCTTAATGGAAAGCAGAATTGATCCTCGAAAAAACGACAAGTCACAAACTTTATTGAGTGACGAAAGAGGGAATGCTGAAGAAGTAATGGAGATATTGAGTGACGATAGAGGGAATGATGAAGGAGTAACTGAAGAACTCAAAACTGAGCCTCAACACTTAGATAATATTTTTAGTTTCACTAAATTTGATCAGGGGATTGAAAACAACAAGGAAACGAATGTTACACATAAGGACATGTGTCCTGGATCAAAAACAGACTCTCTGTTAAAAGCAATCACATTTAACATAAAAGATGATGTATATGCCCTTCTCAAAACTGTTTCGGGAACATTTATAAAAAAAGATGCAGCTATCAGAATTCCTTCAGATAGAACTTCAGAGCCCGACTTTGACACAGAGGATTGTGTTCTAATTGAAAATGCTCCAAGTGGTGAAAAACATAAGGTTGATGCTGCATCTGCATTCTCACCAGAGACTGATACTTCTGATTGGCCAATAACGGGGAAAACTAAAGAAACCTTCTGTGCTGCATTTACTGAAATGAAACTTGTTATGTTTGAGGCTCTCATTAGTCATGGTGAAGAACTTTGCAATTTACTTGATGGAGGTTCAGTAAACTTGTACTTTTCTGACAATTTGCAACTCAAACCTTTGAGTCATGACTATGGTAACAATACATGGAAAGATACATCTGTCTGTTTTACTTTAGAAGAGGCAAAGCATCAGTTTCAGGAAGAATTGGATGAAGCATGGGATGTTGTTTTTGAAAGAACTAGTAATTATTCTACTGGTAATACAGGAAGTGAAATTAATATCCTTGAGCATGCATGTGAACAGTATGATGAATCAGAACAATCACAAGAAGAGAATTCTCAACAGTATACCAACAAAAACTTTGAGCCAGTTGAGATCAAGTCGTTGTCAGCATCCACAATAAAGAAAGAAGTGATTTCAAAACCTGGTTCTAAAATTGTTATTTCGCTTTCCGGTGCTTTTCCAAAAGAAGAAGTTTTGGAAGGGAAAAAGGGAGAAGCTAAAATCCAGGAAGGTTTTTCAATTCCAGTACAACATACAAGACAGATGATTAATACACTGCCAACTATGAGAAAAAAGAAGCATGAATGCCAATTAAAACCAGTGCCTCCTTCTTCCTGGTGTATTTAGAAAGACATCCTTTAAAATATTTTGCTGCTTGGTTCCCTGCCATCCGAAACGTCTTAAAGCACAATTGTGTCCTCCACTGCCATCAGTACCACCTCCCCAGCCTCCTCCACCTCCACCACCACGCCAACCACCACCACCTCCACCTCCACCTCCCCCTCCTGAAACACAATCAGTTGGACCAGGTCAATCAGATTATCAATATACAAATCAGGTCCCGCCAGCTGGAACCTTTCCTCCAGGTTGTCATCCAACATTCACTGGTCCTCAAGATGTATGCACACCACCAGGTATAACTATTCAGCAGAATGGTTCATACTATGAATCATATCTGCAACAGATGCAAACTTGGAACACCTCTCATTTACATATGGCCTATAACTACAGACCACTTGGAGTTTCAGCATTCCAATGTTATGATAATCAACAGAATACTGAATCTTGGATGCAGTTTCCAACTTCATCACCTAGCAATACATGGTATCTTGGACAACCTATGGTGTCACAGTCAGATGATCAATCTTCATCATGGCCGGAAAGTGAGCCACCTCCACCAGGATGCTCTCCTGTGACCCTACTTCCTCCACCATCTCTGTCAAATCACCAGCCTGAGCTTTCTGTACCATCTTCTAAGTCCGCTTCTAAGTGTCAGCCCCTTCATGCTACACCAAATCAAGAATGTGAGCTACCTCTTCCTACACCGGATCTGATAACCTCTGAAAATCAGGAGCTCTTGCTGCCTACACCATCTCAGACCAGCTCTTTGAAATCTCAGTCTAGCTGTAGTGCACCAAGTACTGTCCAATTCACAGGCTCTGAAGCACAAGAAGAAGTAGCTGAAGAAGGGAATTCCCTGAATCTAGTTTCTGAAACTGAACCAAATCTTGCAGAGCTCTTTCCAGTCACTGGTGATGTTGATGAAAGAGTATTTGATACATGCATATCAAAAGAAAATGAGGAAAAACGATCACTGTCTCCGCTGTCTAAAGCTATTGCAGATTTTATTGCGACAGAGAAAAAGTTGTCATCAAAAAGGGAAACCGAGAAATTTAATAGTGAAAATGAACAAACGACTACCAGAGAAACGTTTCCAAGAAGTTCCAGAGTGACAAGGTGTGATTCATCATTAGATGAATCTGGGGATGAAGAACCGCGTTATAGATCATTACATGCTGACTATGGTTCTCCTGCATTTAACAAATCTGCCAGCGATAGGATCTCTCCATCAAGACGACAACTTCAGAGATCTTCAAGGGATAGGGACTCTCCATCAAGGCATTCAGTTCCTGGATCTGTCGGAGATGGACAAAAAAGCAATAAGTACGATGACAATTCATATGGCAGACGAGAATCTAAAGTATGGAATGCCTTACTAAAACATAGAAGACTACAAACCCTCAAGAGTAAACATCTTCCAGAACTTAATTTTGCTTGCCATCCTGATCGAGTATTGCGTTCTCCAACTGTTGAGAAATTGTCTACCATGGAATCTAGTGCTATAAGGAGATATCATGAAAAGAATAAGGAAGTTTTACATCAAAATGGACTTGAGTTGCTTGATACTGCTTCTGGAATTGGAAATAATTCCAATGACAATATTGAAAGTGAATTCTCTGAAGGGAAGGTAATAGAATATGTCTATGCCAAGCAAAAGATTGGGGAGGTAATTCAGGAGACTAAAATAAAACGCATCATGCCTTTGTCAATAAAAATTAAAAAGAAGCCAATGCCTGGTGATAGACATGTTGAAGATGTGGTCGGTGCTATGGTTGATAAAACATCTTCCACTCTGAATCATTTGATTGAAAAGCCAAAACGTACTTTGGATATTAACAAACATGATCATCATCAACATCTTCCAAGATTTGGTGATGGTAATGTAGAGCTCCCAGGTCATTTGCTAAAAACTATTTCAAGGAACACAGAAAAGTTAAACCAAAGAATGGATATTTTAGTAAATCAGTATCTTTAGGAGAGAAATAATAAAATCTGATCATCCTGGGAGATGTGTTGATAAAACAGATTCTCCTGCTAAAAGGCAATGGTATTTTGATACCAAGGATTACAGTGATTGAATGCTTTGCTTCCTATGATAATGATTAAGTAAAGAAAGATCCTCATTTGGTATGCCATGTGTTCTAGTGATACAACAATTACCGCAAAATAAAATGTGTGCTATCTTTTGATTCCAGAATAATTGATGATAAAAAAAATTAAACTGTAATTTATGTCTTGTGGGACAATATATGCATGTTCTGTTGTGAGTCGCTGTTGTTGATAATGTTGTTGTGTGATTTTTCAAGATTTGAAAGCATCTGACAAAATGTTTAGGACAGTTGATTCAGAAATCTGCTTTTTCTTGGGAACAGTTGAATTGGGTGACTCGCGGTATGGGTGGGGGTAAATGTTTATTGGAAAACAGCAGTGGGAAATCAGTCTACCAAAAGTCGTATCATGTTTTTAATCAGTGAACATTTCTCAGCAACAGTATTCACTTGTTTATTCTTATACTAATTTATGTGACATTAATATACAGCATGGTTGAAAAAAAAAATCTTCAATGATATATAATAATATATTGTCTTGTTTCATACTCTCGTATACAGTGACACCTGTCTGAATGTTTTGTTTCATAACGGTGTTTAGTTTAATGGTTTCACACCGGTTATGTATGTTAAATGCTCATCTATATTGAATTATCAATTGCGTTATTTAATAGGTGATTCAAATATAATCTGTCATTTCCGTCAGCTGCTGCTAATAGAGCAAAAAATATGTTTGTAGATTTCAGTAGTGTTTGTAACTCTGTGGCTTCCATTGATGGACAAGTCTTTTTATCACTGAATCGTTTATAATTAGTTGTTTTCTGTTCAAATCACACATATATATATTATTATTAAAAAGCTATTTTTGTACATTATTTTTCTCAAAATCTTGGTTATGAAAATGATGGATGCTATTATTTTTGTTTTACTATCACACCCAATGTATGCATCAAAGTAGTGGCTTTGTGTTAGCTGTTTGTGATGTTTATTGATTTATGTACAAGTTATACGTGTGCAGCGTAATTGTTCTAAAAATATATTTTCTTTAAGCAACCATGTATATATAAGAATGTTGTTGCACTTGTCTTTTAATATTCAAAAGCATTATTAAAACATGTTTCTTTATGACATTTTGTTATCATCCATATGTTTTTATTATAGCAAATTCAAGTGTTCTGTCAAATTGCTTCCACATATGTAGGGGCTTTTTGGCTGTCGTAGGTAAAGCACACAATGGCAGTTGTGCAGCCTCAAAAAGGGACTTTCTAAAACGGGTTTTGTCGATGTTCATTTTCCGTCTCCAACATTTTCTCAGAAATTCTGCAGCAGATATCGATGAAACTTGGCAGGTTGATGTACAAGTCTCTGCCGAGTATGCACACAATTTTCTTTTCCAGATCTGAAAATGCTAAGTGGGTCTTTTTTAAGATTTTAATCCAAAATTACCTCTCCCTACTGCACTGACAGAGCAGCTGAGCATGTTCAGAATAAATAATTAGCTAAGATTGTAATGCTCAGGTTTTAGTGATGTCATGAGTCGTACCATTACCAATCTCAGTGGGAAATGTTGAGGGGTGTCAGGTGTACATTTTGATGGGCATTATAGTGGTGATAATGAAACAAACCCAGGTCCTGGTAATATACAAAGACCTGAATTAACAAAGAAGTCAAGTTGAACATCAAGGTTTACTCAGATTTCTGAATGCAGTTTCTTGTATGGGACAGTTTGGACTTAGACTTAGTTGAACCCCAGTCAGATTTGTTAATTTACAAAGATAACTTCCATTGTCTAATTTTAGTGAATATTTTTGGTAAAAAAAATGATTGTTTTTCTATATTGTAAGTATCTGTCAGATTGGTTAAACATTTCACCACCAGAATTTCTCGCCCAAATTTTCATATTCTTCAATATTTCTGGAAAATAAACCAATATTTTGAAGCCAACAAACAAAATTTGAGTAAATTTTCAGTTTTTACTCAAATGATATGGCTACTTTTGTCCCAATCTTCTGAAGGAAAGTGCAGACTGTAAACAGAACTATTTGTGATGAAAAGAAGGAACTGGTCGGGAAAAGGTTAATTTAGTGTTGATAATTTCAACTTCAATATTCTCATCTCAAAATGCTAGACTGGTTTGATTGAACTCGTGATCGTTTTTAATTAATAACCTCATTAAAAATGCTTAACTATCATATATGTAGCACAATTGCTGATATAGACATTCAACCAGTACTTTATTAACGATACTGGGCAGACAATCTAATCAACATATTTAATAACCACGTATGTCGTGTGACCTCGTTAAAATTGCTTACACGTGTTTTGTGATTTCTACTACTAGCTGTTTCAAGCTCTTTGTAGCGTCAAACACCCCTTGGAGTCTTAATTTGCATATGTAAACCCAATGATCTGCAACACCCAGCTGCCAAATGTGACTGCTGTGCTTGTTGCTCACTCTACTATATTAAATACGAGCTATTGACTATCGCATTTGTATTTCGAAAAAATGCATTGCATGTCTTGTGATCATTCTCGCGACTTCAAAGTGATGTTCATTGCTGGTTGCACAAGTATTTAGGCATGAAAGACCCCACAACCTTATATTTAATATGCCTATATGTCTACACTGATATAACATGCTGTTATCTGATTATTATGTATGTGTAAAACCCCCAGATTAATTTAGCATTTTTAAATGCTAAGTTTAAATTTAAGCATTTTTAAATGCTTAAAAGGCATTTTTACCGTCTAGTGACTCATATGACGTAAACTTGATGTAGACTTGCGAAAGCAGTTTTATTCGAAGACAGATATATTTGTTTGTGTATTTGTTGTATAAAACCAAAATAATTTCACAATCACGTTATTTTCATTGCCCAACAAATACAGATCAACACAGCAGCGTTGCTACGAGTGGCTTGCTTGCACTCATTTACGCCAAGATAATGCATTTAACATACTAGCACTTTTCATATCCACAAAACGTAATAGAATCTTGGCATTTTTAGGGTATGTAATGGTACCAATAAATATTGAAAATGATACCATTACATCACAGACTTCGAATACGCCGTC